CAAGGAAGAATTAATCGCGCGCACTACTTTTGATTAAACAAGTACTCCTTTTTAAGAAACACAAGATTCACACTCAAATTTAATATATTTCTTTAAAAAAAAAAAAATTTATAAGGAAAAGAGATTTATTTTTTCTTTTCTTTTACCTTCTATTTTTTTTCATTTTAAGAAACAACAAATATTTGTAGGATAAATAATGTGTGTGTATAATTTCTTTGACCTAGAGTTTATTTTGAAAGTTTTTTTTGTATTATTTTTCCTCAAAGTTTCTCGATGCTTCTTCGGTAACTGTAGATAAAGAGAAGATCATAGATATAAATACTACAGGAGAGCTCTTGAATTAAAACAAATTTTTAACAATTACATATAACAAATAAAATTATTGTCTGTAGAAATAATACGTTGTTCGATTGTGCATGCATGGAAGATTGTGTTATCGACATTTGAAGATGGATTGTGACGAAAAAAAGAATTTAATAAATGTTAACTGGCAATGCGACGTGCATATACCGTAAATTCTGTGTTTTGTGTCGTGTATTTGTCATGCAAGATACTGACAGCTAATGCCTTGTGAATCTAGTGCCTCCTTGGAAAGCTGTTTCAAGCAAATTTCTACGGCAAGTGAGAAAACACATCTAGTTCAAGCCACAACAAATCATGACTGAGATTGGTATAGATAGTCTTCGAAATCTCATCGCACACTTTGCAAAGAACACCTACAGAACCAAGGATGCAGATGTCACGGTATTTGTTTCATAAATATATTTTATGATTAGACACATGAACATTAAGCTCTTTGTAAAATTAATGTATCTTTTGACAGAATCAGGAAATCATGCAGAGGTGTATGTTGCTTGCGGCCGTTGATTATGAATATTCTACAATTGATAACAGCGGAGGTGATCTTTGTGCTCATTACCCTAGCTATCTTATGATATTAGAACATGATAAATTTCGAAATTCAAAAAACTGCGATACATCAGTAGCATCACCATATCTATTGGAAAATATGCTCATCAAAAGGAACAAGCTCATCAAACTGATGACACGTTCAAGATTTGCCAGATGTCGTTCAAGATTTCCAGTGCCAGTGATACTCTACAAGGGTAGACACGTTTGCAGATCCTCAACATTGTCCAGTGGACCAGAAGTGTTCGGAAGAGCTGGATTAGATTTTTTACTATCTAGTGTAGGCAGCACCAGTTCAGTGCAGCCAGTTACACAGGTAGAAGAAAATCTACCCAAGGAGGAATCAAGGCTGACTGATTTGAAAGATAAAGTTAGATATTACGATATTGAACTTCTGAAGACTCTTAATGTAGGAACCATCGTAGACTTCATGGTGGAGAAGAAGAAAGTTAAATATGGGATGACGTAAGGATGATACAAAGTTTCTCTCTTGTATTTGTATATGTCATGAAACAAATATTTGGAGAGAGCTAGACATTATCTGATTGTTAAACTTTTTTTAGTAACTTGTAATTGTGTTAAAAGAAATATAAAAAGTTGCTTTTGTATGACAAAAATAGAAGAAAAACAAGATGGCTCTATAGTAAAACTATTTATTTTATTGCACATAATTAAACAATTGAGTGAAGATTATAGTTTGTAATAATAATGTTTAGGATGGAGCATATATAATTTCTCCAGAAGAAAACTGCAAACATAGATAATAGCTATTCCGATAAGATGTTCATCTTCACGAACACAGAGTAAAGTTCCATAATAATAGTTCTTAGTATGAGCAGTCTGTTTTATTCTATGAATCCACTTTTAGAGGCCCTTAAACAGAGCTCTTTTGTTCGGTACTCAGCGTAACTTCGTCGGAGAAGGTAGACCAAGGGAGGAGGTACAGCGACTTTAACCTCATTTCACTGCCATATCCTGGATGTGAATTCTTCAAGGAATTTAGAGACCAAGATTATCGATCAAAGGATCTGGTGTTTAACTGGTGCCAGAATTACATAGATGCGCCAATATGTGTACCTGAAGACCCAATCTCCAGTCAATTACGAGTCAACTGGAATCAGTATACAGAATGGAATCTAGTCAAATTAACGCAGAACTATTTAAAATTAATACTGAGATATCTGAGTGATAGTAATAATGGATTACTAATTCACTGTATTTCAGGTATGAATATATATTCATTTATATTGCAGCAATATTGCTCCATTAAAATTTCAAAAAGATAACTGTTTTCCAAATAACTAATTAAAAGATTACTATTATTTGTAGGTTGGGACCGTACACCATTATTTATTTCATTATTAAGAATTAGTCTCTGGGCCGATGGTGTCATTCATACAACATTGGATTCGTATCAACTATTATATTATACCATCGCCTACGATTGGATGCTTTTTGGACATGATTTAGCAGACAGGCTCAATAAAGGAGAGGAAATCCTTTTTTTCTGTTTCGATTTCTTAAAATATATCGAAAATGAACAATTCAGCATACACAAACATTATGACAGAACATCGAAACATAGCGAGTCGGAGACTTTTGTGATTGACAGCGAGTCTTTTGAAATCATTACAAATTCAAGTTTTAGTCCAAAAAACAGCTCATCTAGTTCTATTGAACAGAATAGCGTAGATGGTGATTTGTCGACAGCTGTGTTTTTTATTGACTCCACTGATAATCAAGATGACTCACGCAACAATGTGTATGATTACTTTAATTATTTATTTTCAAGTATCATAGCAATTTCATATAAACATCATTTGCTATATATCTTGATTAGAGTTCTAACATTTTTTTGTATGTACCATAGAAATATTGCTCACGGGACATTTACTACATCTCCAAATAAAGATAGTAGTATCGCACAAGAATCGCGCTCATCGCTGTCCGCAAATCGTACATCTCCGATTGGTGTTCCAATACCACGCAATCCCCATGTTCGACAACGAAACGATTCAACATCTTCAGGCGATTCTTGGCAATTGGTAACAGGGACTGGTAGCCTATGTGGTTCTACGACTGCTAATGCTCCGCATCTAGACAACATATTAGCACCTGATTCAGATTGTAAGCCGTCATGTACTACTTGTCGTAGAACTCGACGTACATCGCAAGAACGCAACGTAAATGATGATGAAAATTGTGTAATGCATACACAGTGAGTTCTTAGTATAATTTTTTGATTTAACAATATATTTTATTTCTTATAAGATCTATAACTTAACTTACAATAAAAATGTTGTTCCAGACGTAGAGAACGTTTGCATTGTCTTCGAAATATATTTTATAAGGCTTATGGACCTCATGGATTTCGATTGAAGGACGAATCAGGTGGTATCAGCCAATATATCGGAAACATTGTTGGGATGACTTCCATTCAACGCACATCCTAGTGGCAAATGTTATTAAGTGACTTTCTAAAAGCATGAATTTACAGTCGATTCTCCTATTCTAAGATTGCCCGATCATTTCTTCTATTCTTTAATCTTTGTTTATTATTCATTAATTATTATTTCTCTAATGGAATTTGTATTCCTTAGTCCTTGTTTATTGTTTTAATCCTCATTTTCTCTAAGCGCATTTCTTCCATTCTTCAATCATCATTTATTATTCATTAGTCATTTATTTTCTTTAATATTTCTTCTATTTTTTTAAATTTTTGTTTATTATATTCTTATTTTCTTTAATCGTACAAATCTTATACACATGGATACGTCTTGTTATGATCAGGGAACTGAGTTGAGCGAGAAAATATATCTTCTATCCTTTTACGAGAATGAGACTACTGCTTAAACTCGGGCGTAGTGTCATAAATATATACATATATATATATAGACTTCAAGATTGTTTTATTACATTTAAAAATAATTATTTATTAAATATCTACTTATGAATGAAAGAAAATATTGCCATTCTTCCTCCAATATATATCGTATTATCTTATCATTTATATATAATAATCTATCAGTTATATATATATATATATATTAATCGTGATATATAGTAACATATTGGTTACATATTAACCGATAAATTAATATATACTTATAATCGATAGGTTAATATATAATTTAACGGTTATATATTTCAAATTGCTAATTATTTCTCATATATCATTTTGAGCATGTGTCATACATTTGATACAATATAAAGAGTAGAAGATACAACGCATTTACTGTTTCTATCTAATGGTAAAGATGTATCTATGTATATAAGATTTATTATTTAAATCGCATGTACAAGAAGAAAATATCACATATCTTGTTTTTTTAACTTGTCTTTTCGCTTTAATATTAAACACGAGAGCAAGAAAATCATAACTTTAAACAAATTTAGCTCGTAATATGAAACAGACTCTTAGAATAGTAGAAATCGATTATATTGTTAATGGGTACGGTCAACGCAATGCTACAAATGTTTTGAAATGTCCTTTTTTAGAATGAATTCGTAAAATTCTTTTTTCTAATCAATTAAACGCTTCAAAGCATTTGTAGTGAAACTTTAATCGCAGCCAATAATACTTTTGTCCAATTAACAATTTTATAAAATGAATTTATAAATGGAAATGAGGAGAGAGATTGTACATAACTGTTTTTCTCAAAATTGGACTGTTATACAAGATGTAGTATGATTGAATATGATAATCAGAAATAATTGAATAAAACTTGATATTTTTGTATATATCTATAAAAGTAAATGTTATATTTTGTCACCTTTGTCTCCCTGTATGTAATTCCTATATATAAGTACTAATTTTTACTAATCAAATTGTTAATATCTTATAGACTTACAGATAAAAATGACTTGTTAGATCTTTTAAAGAAAGTTTTAGGAATCCTAGAGTTTTAAACGTAATTTAAAAAAAAAACAGGTAAATTCAACAGATTTTTTTTTATTTTAAAAAAGATATACTTGTCTTAAAAATATATTAATTTTTTTTCTTATAAATATATAACATATAAATATATAAAAGACCTTTATATTTGTATAATATGTATTGAAGGAATATGTAATCTATTTTATCACAGAAAATTACAGATTCATCAGATGGACAATTCTCGATGGTGGTACGTATTCTCTGCAGTATGGACATTGCGGTTTAACACGTAACCATTCGCTAAGACAGCTCCAGCAAAATAGATGACCACATAGCGTCGCGGTTGTTGCTGTTGCTTCTAGACACAACTGACAATTGTGACTGATGTATTTAGAATTAGATGTATTTATAGCAGCAGTATCTTGTATTACGCCACTTTGCCAAATTTTCAACAGACATTGAATTATAGTAGCAAATCCTAATAATCTTAATCCCCAGCTGACGGTATCCTTGGGTCGAGGTCCATATATCTTTAAATTATTACGTAAGTATAACAAAATTTATATAATACAATATTATGAAGTTTTACAGAACTTGAAATTTACCTTTGTATAATCTAATCCAGCAATTCTCCTTCCCAGGCTGTAGTATCTACCGTAAACGTAAAATATCCCCTTGTGGAACAATATAATTATAGGTATCATTGTGCGTAACTTGGATAGTAAAGTATTTAAAAACATTATCGCTGCTGGAGTCAACTCTCTAAGTGGATGATTCACATACGCTTGCAACTGTTGCAGTAATTTGAGCAACGTTCTCTCACCGAAACATTCTAAAATAGCAGCTAATATTCTCACCTAAGAAAAAAACAGAATAATTAAGTTATTGAAAGAAATTTGTTTCTAAATAAATTTTTCGAGCTAAACGTACAGTCAACGTTGGAACTTTGCGTTGCTCTAAATTAGCCTGTACTATGCCGGTATATTCCTCGCCCAACGTTTGATTGCCCATGCCCGATGTAAAAATAAAGTATAATAACTTGAATGGAATGTCAGACCGAATGTATTGAAGCAATGTCCTGTGCACCCCGATATTCTGTAATATATCGGACAGCTTCTCCCGCAAGAATTTAATGAAATCATCGTCCCGTTGATGCGACCGTAATATTTCTGCCCGACTTGCACATTTCAGTTTGCGGCCAGGCCGGTTTCCGTTAGTCTCCATTTTTCTCAATACTGCACGTTTATATTCTATCGTGATGGAATACGTAGTGCGATATCAAAAGGCGAACTCATCCATAATTATGCGTGAAACTCTTAAATCATTAGATTGCGTTCAAGTCGTTCAAAGTCCTTATTTCCTTAACCTCCTAAATGCCTAAACGTTACCGTCATTCCAATTTAGATATTCTTCACTACTTCGGAATAGTTCGGATCATTTCGAATATTTATCCACGGAGTATTAGGAAGGAGTCGACTCCTTAGCTTTTTCGATCCTCAATTTGTTTTCACCGATAGGAGGCGTTGTGTAGTTGAGGATGTAGCGTGTCTGTTCGTAATCACGTCCAGGTTATTAAAGCAAAGGAGATTGTTCTTCGATTACTAAAGAAGTTTTATTAATTATAAATTGACACTTTTCATACAAAGAGAATCGTAACGGTAATAAGAATCTAAAATCTAAGTAAGTTAAGTTAAGGTAAGGTAAAAGGTAAGGTAGTTGACTTGCGCGCGCGCCGAACGTTATATTTCATTGGCCTATATCAAGAGCCTCTTTCACCAACGCCGATTAACTTAATCGACGATTAGTCCATTGGAATTGACCAATCGCGTCTGTCGTCAGAACTAAATGATAAATGCGATTGGTCAATTCCAATGGACTGATCGGCGTTGGTGAAAAAGGCCCCCCCTCCAAGGAGGAGATAAGTAGATATTCGGGGATTTAAAGGGAGAAAAAGCAAAGATGAATACGAACAGACCTACTGATATTTTGCACATTTCATCACGTTGGTGACTCATTACGTCTAGTGTTTTTCGTTTTTTTTTTTTTTTTTTTTACTAGAACTGTCGGTAAGACAGAACGGCGGCCGATTCGCCCGGTCGGCTGCGCCAACGGCAATGGCGGCGACGTGTGTTCGCGGATAGAGGGCAACGGCGGCGTTGCGGCGGCAAACGGCGGAGAGGCATCGCCCTAGATAACGGTAGAATCGCGCAGTGCTGTCGCGTTGTCTTCTCGCGTGAGTGTGAAAATCTAGGAGGCGCGGGGAGGTGTACAGGAAGAGGGCAGGCGGCGGCAGGAGAGAAAGAGAGAAAAAGAGAGAGAGAGGCGCGTCCGTCCGCGTAATCAGCGTCGTCGTCGCCTTCTTCAAGGCTCGTGTTGCCCTCGTGAATCGCGAACGGAGTCGTGTTGTGCCTCTACGGGATCGATCGGTACGCACTGTGCCGATATATCAGGCGTGCCGTGTGTGCGGCGACAATCTCGAGAGACGCAGGCCAAGGGGTACCCGGTAAAAACCGCATTCGTCATAACGTGCGACTCGAATTTCCGATCTTTCGTCAGCCAATGCGGGATCGGTCAGGCTAGTTAGTCTTGGCTAGCGGCGAGAAACCGTTCAACAGGGAGAGAACAGACAACGCACGGCGGTCTCGTTCGTCGTACCCCTCGGCCTCTCCTCATGGACTCGTGACAGGGTGGCGACGGAGAAGCCGAGCCGAATCAGAAGAGAGAGAGAACGCGCGGGCGGGCCAAGGTATAGCTCTAATAAAATCGCCGAGTTCTCTCTCGTCCAGTCGTGGCGACGACGAAGAGACGGGGCCGACGAGGGACGCGAGGAGAAGAACGAGAATAATACAGGCTTGCCGCTGCCTTATGCGCGTGTATGTGTATGCACGCTTGAGAGCCGCTGAGCCGACTTGCGCGAGCGACAGGGACGGACAGTAGGAGAATAAGAGAGACCGAGCGGGAACGAGAACGGCGGAGGAGAGAATTATCGAGTGAATCCCGGGGAGATACTGCGTTCTGCGAGGAGCGTGGGGCCATTCAGGAGGCACGAGAGGTAAGGAACTCGGTACGAAACGGAGGCGCGCGGCTCTTCGAAAAAGAAAAAAGAAGAATCCCCCTCCCCCCCCCTCCCTCCCTCCCCCGTTCGAGAAGGCGCCGATGCATCGTGCCGTGCCGTGGCGTGGCATGCCGACCGGAAATCGTTCACGGCGTCGTCGGCGACCGCGCCGAGAAGATCGAAGGCGGATTCACGGTTCAGGAACGATCGGTAACGGGGGTGCTTTCCTTCCGTTTTTGGTGACACGAGTGCCGTTCTACACCGTTTCGTATACTCCCTGAATGTCCGAAAGATAGAACGGTGTTTATGCCGCGATTTGTGTCAATAGATGGAAAGCGGCCTCGTTCCCAAACGACGTCCTTCCCCCTTCCCCCCGTCCGGGAAAAAAATTGTCAGGGCTGCATCTCGTCTTTGGGAGAGAAGCGGAGAGAAAGATGAATCCGTGCCAGAGAAGGAAGTCGAGCCAAGAAGGGAACGGAGACTCGGCGCTCCGAGTGTCGCGCGCTCTTCTCTCGCTCGGCGCTAAACCGAGTGTCTCTCGCGGGTAGGAAAGCCTTCCGAGGGAAACGGGCGTTGTTTCTTCCTCTCTCGTTATCTCTCCTCGTGATTTTCCTAAACGAGCGAGACGACCGCGTGCGGGCGGTGCGTGCGAGCGAGCGAGCGAGCGAGACCGCCCGGCTCGCTCTCCTCGTTTCCGCACACCGGGCAACTAGCGTTTTCCTCTTACGGTCACGGCCCGCCCGAGCCGCTCGCGATCTACGCGACAACGCGCGAGAGTTTTTGCGCGCGGATACCCCGTATACGTGTGGGTCTTTCATCGGGATTCGGGGAGAGAAACGTCAGGCGGATCACGCCGGGCGATTTAGACCGATCCTTCCGTCCTCTCTCTCCCCCCCCCCCCCCCCCCCCCCTTCCCCTCCGTTTCCGTTCCTCCCGTTTTTCGCACGTGGATAGGCGAGGAGACACGCGGTGTTGTACTGTAATTGGTTACTAACGAGCACACATCTGTAGGAAATATATCTTGCTGGGCTTCCTGCGTGACTAATGCGACGAAGAAATAAATCGCTTGGAGGTAGATCGTCGGGGGACAAAGGCGAGGTTCTTTTCGGCCGTAGTTCCTTGCACTCTCCTTCTTTTCTCTCTCGGCGTTTAAAATAAAATAGACGCGTGCTCTCACGGAGTATCTGACTAGGGGAGTAGGAGGAAACGAAAGTGACTCTTCTACAGAAACGTCGAAAAATTTTGAGAGAAAAGAGAGAGAGAGAGAGAGTAGAGAAATTTGTAAGTCCGATTATAATTCACTCTCACATTTTTTCATCTATCTTTGTTTCCGTTTAGGAATAGGGGTCTGCTTGTATTCTAATAACTGAAATGCTGGTAGATTGAGATAAAGGTATACATAGTTGAATCTATTAAGCAAGTCGAGATAATCAGAAATTCAGTTACGACAATCAGAATTCTGACTGATACGATCGGAATCCGTTTTTTGTTTGTACTTTTTGTTAATACAATCACGCTGGAAACAGTCTGGTTGTATCAACTGAAACTTCGGTTGAAAGTAGACAATTCCATTTTCACAATCAGAAATTTTTCTCAATGCAAAATATTTTTCTCTGTGTTTAATAAGACATATATTTTCTTTCCGTGACACACTGAAAAAAGACTCTGGTTGCATTAACTGGAATTAATCGGTTGAAAATTAACATATCAGAAATTTTCTAATTGAATCTATTATAATTTTAGTTGAAAATAACCGAATTCTGATTAATCGTGAATTTCTAACTCGTTCATTTTTAATCAGAAATTTTTCTCAGTACAGAAGAAATTGAATGAACTCGAGCTGAAATGACCTTTTTTATCACCTGTCAATTGTCAAGCTCAATTGAAAAATTTGACCATTAGGATTCTGTCGGGATCATAAAAACGATCCCTGCATCCGTTCGATGCATCAACTTGAAGTTATAGGGTCTTTTAAATCTGAGCGTTGACACGAATCTCGTCAATTTAAGCCCGTAACGCGGTGTGACGGGAGTAAAGAATAGGGATTAATCATTTTAATATCGAAGAGAATGGGGGAGAGAGAGCCGAACGCGAGGGAAGCAACGCACTAGAAAGAGATTGTATCCTGTATTCCGTTCGCGAATCGCGGATCATGTCAAACTGGAGCTTAAGAGTAAAATTGAAAATCGCTCTTCCACACGCAGAGCTTCGGAGTTTTTAAGCTGGACGACCTTGATCCGCTCTCGCCACCCTGTATTTCTGTATAGAGGACATTTTTGGTGATTGATTCATGGCCTTTTCAACAAAGATCACGGAGAACCGCGTGGCGTGTTTCTAATCTGTAGTCGACTCACGTGAGTCATCGTCACGCAGGAAGTGGCTTCTGGGAAAAAAGAATGTCGACATAATGCTGATCGGGTATTCTTACTTATTGTATTTGAGAGAGTCTGTTTAGACATCGACTGAGAGGAAGAAGAACATTTTTTGTTTGTAATCTTTTTGCAACAAAAGTCTTTTGGACAAAAGATAATTATATTTAATAAACCAACTGCAAACAATTGAATGCTGTTTATATATAATATAAATTTTCTTTCTGTGACAGAAAAAGTCAAAATAAAGGTGGCTTAAAATGTGGGCCAACTTTGCATACATTCGCTAAATATTGGCCTACATTTATTTATATGGATAATTAAACATATTACGTGTGTAATATTTGTTAATGTTGGCGTACATCGGCGATATCGTCTGGAGTCACTTCCTTACATTGATTCCCGTTTCTACCATACTGAAAAAAATGTTTGGTTGAAAATGGGCAAACCAAAAAAGTTCTGATTATATCGATCAGAATTCCGATTATCTCAACTAGAATTTTAGCATAAATTTATATATAGAAAATTTTCTAGTTAAATCTACTAACAAATTTAAATCTACTAAAATTTTTGATGAGATATAACCGAAATTCTGATCGATTTAATCTTCTGGTTTGATCATTTTCAACCAAATATTTTTTTCAGTATGGTAGAAACGGGAATTTCTCTCAGTGCAATGTAATTTAATTTTAATCTAAGAATTAGAAAAAGATAATGAAGAGTTAATTAAACCGAGATTAAAGTTTAATCTATCTATATACTGGTAGAAATGGATATGAGAAAGATTTCTAGTGAAAATGAACAAACCAGAAGATTTGGATCATAGATGAAAGAATTAGAATTCTGTTTTGTTATCTAAAATTATAACAGATTCATCCAGATGATTTTGATATGTCTATTTACAACCAGAATTCAAATTAATGCCTATTCTTCTTTTACCACCAATGTACTTATCACTTGTCAATTGTTAAATTTTCTTATTTGAAACATTTGTTTATTAGGATTTACGTTAGGATTATAAAAATGGTCTTCTTATATAAATTCGTATTTCTTGTCGATTTCACAAACCGAAGGAATATCCGTCCCAAAAATGTGCACGTCACGACCGATATTTTTCCCACAAATGGATATGCAAAAATTCACGATGAGAAAACGCAAAAATTTGCAATTCATGGGCACGTTTCGTCAATTTTATTTTTGTTCGTATTTGTTCGCGAGCATTGCGTTATTTATTACCTTTCGAACTGTAAACGACATTAGATAGCACATTAACACTGGGGCGTAGTGTTAATTAATATATGCCGTATTAAACGCAACCGATGCACTTAAGAAAGTTACCGTCGCAGTACGTAATAATATAAGGACAAGCCACTCTGGACGTTTCGAAATATTGCCGTAGACCTGCCGAGGATAAAACGAAAACTTATACGGCACAAAATTGTGAGGAAGTGCAATAATAATTTTCACGCGACAGCTGATGTGTTAATCGACACGTGTGTGTCAACGTGACGCTAGAGAAAGACCAGACATATAGTTAGCGCCTACGATATCATCTCGTATCGCATAAAAACGATAAAGCATTTTATTTAAGCGATAACTCGCCAACACGGACCCGTTCATCCTTGAAAAATGAAAAAAGAAATCTTACCCCCCACGTTGTTTGATCGATGGTTACGAACGATTATAAAGATTGATGCCGTATTTATTTACGCGGTTTTATTCTTGTAATAGAGTTTCATTTTTCTTTTATACAATATATATATTTATATTGTCCTGTTTCCAAGATGCATTCGGTTAGGAATATTACACGAACACGCTTCTTTGTTATACAAACGAGTATAAATTTAGGCGATTTATAATACACAGTAATATAATTTTCATTAATTTCACTTCTCTAAAGCCTTACCAATAAAAATAGAGAAGTAATAAGTAGAATAATCACGGAAAGAACGATTTTTCTGAATTATCTAAATATTTAGGTAGATCTGAAAATAATCTTATTAATAAACCGTCAAATAATTATGTAGGATGACGCTCAAACTGAAGTTTGCTGAAGTATCACAATTTTTTGTACCACTACTCTTCATATTTGAGTTTTCTATATTAATTGTTGGCATAATTATTTTGACGCTTCAACATTATTAATCAATAGGGTCAATCTTATCAAAGAAGCAATGATAAACCCAATCTCTTGAGTTAAATAATATTTTTGTTACTTTTGACATTCATGTGTATCGAAATGTAAATCAATCCATTTCTGTGCTTAACTTTAAAGTAAAGAATGACTATGTTAATATTCTTAATAAAATAATAAACTAAATTTAAGTCAAGTTTAATATATATCGTCTTGATCTACCTAATTTGTTTAATTCTATTGTTTTGATTAAAATGACGACATATTGTTTAAGAGCAGTGGCGACCTATAGAAATGACTATAAAATAACTCAAATTGGGTATAATTTAACATTTAAATTTAACAATAAACAAAATTATTTTCAGATTTGTATCTACCTAAATTTTTAGATACATTAAAAAAAATTGTTCTTTCCGCGTATCTGCGATTAAATTTATAAAAAAGTTGGCATTTTTTTTAAAATAAGAGAGACTCCAGCACCCTCTTTCTTCTTT